CGAGGGGATTCATCCTGCTGGGAGCAGAGTAGCACATCCCTGAATTCCTGAGGTGCTCCTGTTCCAGCCCTTTGGTTGATATCCATGTGAAGAGGAAAGTGAGCCAGCTGCAAAAGTGATGTTGAAATCCTTAAAGGCCTCCCAGCTTCCCAGGGTGGCTCCCGTAGCTATTACTCTTTATGCAGCTGAGGTATTGTAGCACAAACATAAATCTCTTTATTTATAAAACACAGTGTTTCAGCTATTTTGTGTTATCTTGGTGTCAGTGGTCTCTACATGATTTCTTGAAATTGCTTCTGTCAGCTTTGGGGTAACTGGGAGTTGGAAATATATTTATGTGTGCACCTTTGTATTTTACTCTCTACATGTGTATGTGCACGTCTCTATTTATATCAGATGCTGTTCTCAATTAAGTTTTAGTTCCAGTCTTGCACTGATTCTATTAATTAATAGAAAATTGTGAAAACCACAGCACAGATTTTAAGGAGAATTTCTGCCTTCCACTAACTGTGGAGTTTGAAATGGACACAAGTGATTATGTTCATTTTCCCTTGTCTGGTCGTATGAGTTCTTTCCTCTGGAGAACTTTCTCAGGTGCATGTTTACATGTATTAGTCAAAAATTATAATTTTCTGTAGGTGTTCTCTAACACAGACGTGCACATCTGGGTGTCCATCCCATCCCTGGCAGTGCCCAAGGCCAGGCTGGATGGGGCTTGGAGCAGCCTGGGACATGGAAGGTGTCCCTGCCATGGCAGGGGTGGCACTGGATGGGCTTTAAGGTCCTTTCCAGCATAAACCATACGTGGGTTTTATGATTGTTTAAACAATCCTGTTGTTGAGGCAGAACCTTATGGGGAAGGGAAAGAATCTCTGTTCCCTTTGAACACACCTACACATTCAGTGTCACCTCCATTTGGTTTTCTGATCTTTGTTTTCTGATGGCTGTTTTTTCCCTGCAAATCTTGTGCCAGTGCAGTCTTTAAGACTCATCCCAAATTATGTTTTTTACACATACTTGTCTATGATGCCCATCCTGTCCAACTTCTGCCTTCTTCCATAACCTGTTCTTCAGCAAGGAGCCTGGTCCTGGAGTGGGAAACCCCCTCTTTGTCCAGCCACAGACAATCAAGTGGGCACCTTTTGTTATTTTCAATGCTGGTGGAACAATTTATTAATGTATATTTTATATATCTCAACATCCTATGCATCACAGTGTCACAACTGTTACCAAACCACCAGTGCTGAGCACTTTAAAGTGCTCGAAGTGGTGGCATTTGTGATCTGAGGTTTGAATATATGTTGATTCACATGAAACCATCATTTTCTGCATTTTGAGGCTTTCAGGAAGAAATGACAGGCTTGAATTAACGCTTGGTCATTATTGTTCTATCATGTGCTCTCATTGCTTCGTGAGGATTAGGGAGCTGCTGATCATATATCTGTATTTGTGTGCCAGGGCATCATCATTGGTATTTACTGTGATTACCCTGGTGGAGAAAATACATTATCACAAAATGGTCTGAAGTGGGAAGATTGTACAACAAAGCCAGTCTGATGAGATGCTGACAAGTGTTAATATGTTCAATAATCAATATTTAATAAGAATTATGGAAATAGCTCTTCTTCATGAAAGGTATTTAGTTATTGTATTTGTTTTTGATAATTGTTTGTGAAGTGTGCTGGGTTATTTGTTTTGTCTTCTGTGCTGGGTTCAGTTTCCAGGGGAAAACCTCAAATCTTGATGAGTAATTCTTCAAATTAAAATTAAGAGCAGTCTTTCTGCATGACAACAGCTCTGATAGCTTTATGCACACCTTCAAAAACATTTTTTTTTACATTTTTTGTCACTTTTTCTATTTGTTGTGGAGGAAGGCTGGTTGAAGTACTATCTCCCAGCTCAGGAGTGATGCTCATTGGGGGTGCACAGCAAAGTTCAGCTTTATTTATCTGCTACCTGCAAAGCCAGGGATAAGTGCTGCTGAAAGATGGAAAAGTTCATTCTCTCCAGCAAGGTTACTCTTCTTGATGAGCATTAAAAGATAGCTTTGAGCCATTCACAATTATGACCTTGACTAGGAAAATGTAAGTTAATAAGGCTTCAACAAATTATGGTCTTTTTGGTCGATTTGCCTAGTGAACTGTTAATTGTAAAACTGAAAGACATTATGTTCAGCTTTCTCTATCACATCTTTTGTGTTTTAACAGTGACACTTCATTGAGTGCAATTAACAAAGCCTAGGAGATTTATTAACACACTTCTTCATGGCCAATGATCCATTCCACTTAAGACATAACACTGTAAAATGCACATTATCTCCTTTTGGCACTTACAATAATGCTTCATGAACTAGGAAGGCATATGTTAAAGCAGATAAAATAGCATTATTAGCTGACAAATCTTACAATTTATTAGACAGTTAATTTATCAGCTTAAAAGACACTTAAAACAGCTGTGCATTTAATGTCTTTTTAATGTATCCAGTAAAACTTGCATAATTGCCTGTAGTGCAATTTATTTTTAGCTATGTTGCAAAATGTCTGCATTTACTGTTTACATCTTCTTTAATTTTTCCTGCAAGGCTCATCACATCGAGGCAGGGCCCTAACAACGAGGGCAGATAATCAGATGAAGAGGCTGCCTGTCCAAATGGCCGCCCATGAATGAACCCCTCACAAGTCCTCGAAGAGTTCCTTGGTTTTGTCTCCACCCCAGGGGCAGCAGGGAGGGAGGAAAGCCCAGGGAGCCCTGCAGGCAGCCGGTCATGGAACGCCGGGCACCTCGGAGCATCCCTGGAATTAGCATTTGGAGCCCATTCGGAGCCACATGTCTGGGGTGTAAACTAACAAGGCTCCAAGACTGCATTAGCAGAGGTGTTTCATTTTATAATTAAGGTAACTGCTCCCTGCAGATCCATTGCAGCAGCCCTAAGTAGTGTCTGTGAAGGGAGTGGTGGAGAGGATACACGTTTAATGACTCCGATGCATAAATTGGCTGTGTTTGTTTATTGCTCTCTAATTTAATGGAACCTTTTGTTAAATCTTTCTGCCTTTTCTTCTTTTTTTTTTTTTGAGCATATCGCTAGCAATGATTTCTGTGGGAACAAAGGGTGTTGCTTATTAAAATAAAAAGTCAAACATTGCCGTTTCCATTAATTAAATGTCAGATTAAACTAATCTTTTTATAAATATTGGATATAATCTATTTACAGAGGGAAATCAGATCTGCAGATGCTGGGGAAGGAGTGTGGAGATGTAATTCTCCTTGCTTTGCAGAAATCAGGTGGGGTGGGGGAGCTGGATGGGTCGGACCTGCAGCTGGGATCCCAAAACAAAGCAGATTTTACTGAATATAAGGAGCACGGGGATATAGGTACCTCTCCTGAAGGAATAGGTGAGTCTTGAGAAAGGGAAAAAGCTCTTCTGGAGAGTTTCCAAACTGAGGAGTCTGAGAACAGCCAGATTTCCAAATGCCCAGAGACAGAAAATGAGTGGAATCCATCAAGGTGGGCTATGAATCAAAAATACGCAAATAAAAGGAGCAAAGGAATGTTTTATAAAGCCATAGAATTGTTTAGGAAAACTGTAAAAGATAATGGAGTTCAACCACTCCCCCAGCACTGCCAAGGCCACCCCTGCCCCACGTCCCCAGGTGTCCCATCTGCACAGCTTTGAAACCCTTCCAGGGCTGTTGACTTCAGCCCTCTTCAACTTCCCCTGCTGCAAATCCCAGCCTTCAGTCCAGGGGTGAGTTATTCTTTGTCCCAGGCTTGGCAAAGCTTTTCACCCCTCTTCTCCCTGGTTTTTGGGAAGGGGGCACTAGAAAAGAAATGGGATTTTCAACATGCACATTCATCTCTACACAAGAATTGAGTAATCCAAGGCTAAATCCTCCTAAAACCCTTTCATCATGTCAGGATGCTTTTTGATTTTCCCTCTAAATGTGGTTATCCCCTCAGAATTACTGTGTTCAGTGCAAGTTTACAGAAATGCTGAAGGTCTGCAGTGAATGTGTTAATCCCAGTCAGCCTGGAAAACACTATAAAAACTTTTCTCATAAATGACTACCATTAGGAGACTGGCAAAATGATAAATTATCCAAATGAGGGGATGAGAGGAAAATGAATGAATTATTGAAGTCAAGTATAATAGAGGTGTATGGATACCTATAGTCATTACAAGAAATTGTTGTGTATTACATTTAATTAAACCCAAACAGGTAATAGTGCATTATTCATGCAGAGATAGTCATCTAATGAGAGCTTCTTCTCCCTTGCACTAGTGCAGCACTGTTGACTGTTTCATTGCTGTACACTGAATTCTTGGAGAGGTTACAGCTGAATTCGGAGGACATCAGGTTTCTAGTGAGGAGTAACCTGTTAATCTGTAATTCCAAAATTACAGCTCTTTTAATGAGAGATTTTAAAGGCTGCCACTGCAGAAGAAGGTGGTGTTGAAGTTCTCCCTCTGCTTTTAGCAGGACACCATCATCTGTTTCATGTTGTCTCAATTTGTCATTGCAAATTTAATTTCCAATAATTTAAAGGTAAAACATTTTGGGCAGGAAATTCCTAGAATTATCTGTTCAGGCCAGCACTGGTGTTGGGGTGATGCTGTAGCTGAAGAGCAGCTTCAGATTTAAAGCAGCATTTTCCTAGAGTAAAATCTAACCTTTGAAATCTTTCTTGTGCATAATCCACCTTGTTGCAGGAATAATTATCTTACAGGCTAGTGGAGTTCTCTCATTTTGTGAGCAGCTTAAAAATAAGCTCATCTGTTACCACAAACACTTGAGAACCTTTTCATATTCCTTGTTTGGAAGCTTTCAGGCACGGACAGAGGACAACTCTTTGCAAAATGATAGCTTGGAAATACAGTTTGGCTTATCTGGATTTTTTTTCCCTGCTGTTTAATGAACAGGTATTTTCTAAAAAGATAAAAAAGCTGCAAATCAGGAATATAAAGCAGTGATTTTTTTTTTTTTTTTTTGTTAAACTTTAGGAGCCCTTCTCTCCAAACCTGGTGGGTGAAGGTGGTTTGTAAGTACTGTCCTCAACACAGAGCATGTGGCTGGAGATGTCACCTCTCTTCAAAGGCTTGCTTCTACCTCTTGAAAGATGAATTTGTGTGGAAAAAGCACACGTTGGCTCTGAAATTCTGATTTGTCTGCAGACCTGTGTGACCCCTGTCATTTGAGAGGTAAGAAGTCAAAAAAGTAATTTTTAGAAAACTCATCCTGGCACGAGAACACAGAAAATCTTGGCATGTTTCTGACCACTGGGGCGAGTGAAGGAGATGAGGAGCTGGAGGAAACAGCCCTGTTCCCTGCTCTTTAATTCTACCAGGTTATTCCTTCCTGTCTTTCCTACTTGGGACCATAAATTTGGAGAGTTTAAGAAATCATAATAATCTGGAAACAGGTTCATAATTTCTGCCTGGGATTGTTATTTATTAAACAACGATTATTGTTGTTTATTAAACAACTAAACCTTAGTTCCTCTTAACATGGGACACTGTCATAAGATAATTAATTACTGTGTCAGAGATTGAAAATAATTGGTTGCACTGTGTTTTGAAAACATTTTATTTAAAACTATTTGTAGAAAAATATTGTTTAATTTCCTCAGGCTACTGTGCCACACCTTTGTGACTTACTAGGTGGAATTTGCCTTCCCTGATATGTGAAATATCTCGGTGATTTCTCAGCCATCTCGACAAAAGTCTCTTTTTAAAAACCCACATTTGAGCAGACGCTGCTGGTTTTGCTAGAAACACATTTGGTGTCGTGGGGAAGGGTCCAAGGGAAGCAGAAATGTGTGGGGATCCCTTTTGGGGCTGGAATCTTTTGGGGACAGGGTTTTTGGGGACGGGGGATGCTCTGAGCCCCCGTGTGGGATTCTCCACAGCTTTAGTTACTGGTGCAGCTCTGCTCGTGAGAAACACCCGAGGAAAAAGGAGAAGCAGCAGCTCTTCCCATGGGTTTTCCAGGCAGCAATTAGAAAACTGAATCCAGTGAGCTTTTCTGACAAAAATCACTTCAAGAATGTTATACAGAAAAGATTTTTACTGCCTTCCATCCTCTCCAATAGTGAAAAATCTGTCCTTATTCCTACTAGGTTGTGATTTAACCTGCCCTCCTAGAAGATGAACCTGTAGTTTAAACTAGTTTTGGGTCATGTTGTTTTTTCCCCTGAGCATCAGAAGCCAGATGTTTTCAGTGCAAAGGAAATTAATGGCCTAAATAATGGATATATTGAAGTACTGCAGCCACAGTCCATCTGCTGCTTTTGGGGAAGCAGGATCAGACCCTTTTTAATTTTTGGAGTATGTTTGTTATACATCTTGTGAATGTGAATAAAAGAAATATTAGCCTGGTCTGTGAGGAGTAAGGAATGATGTGGAGGGGATTGTGGCAGCTTGGAATAGCTGGAGAAATCTCATGGATCCCAGTGTTTCATGGCAGTTTCTTGGTGTCCTGACCCATCCCAGCTTTGGTCCCTCACCAGACCCAGTCTTGCAGCTTCTGCTCCAGCACTGCCCACCTGGGACTGCTGTGAGCCCTTCATTCTAAAAAAGTTTTGTTGTGACCCCACAGGAAGCTGTAATGACCATTCCAGAGCATCCTGACAAGAATATTTTATACAAAAAGCTGTGTGGGCAGAGCCCTGGGGAGGGAGAGGTACTAGAATAGAAAACAACCACAACGTTTTAATTTGTTTTCCTGGAAGCTCTCTTTAAAGCTATTTTTTTTTCTTCATTATCATACATGGAAATTCCCACAGAAAGGCAGGAAATTTCGAAAGTCCAAAGATGGTGATGCCTTGACAAATAATGGCCTTCCAGCTGATTTTGTATTCTCTTTGTATTACAGCTTGGCTGGAGTCTGGTTCTTTTGGATGCACAATGTCCACGACTTGATTCCATCACTTTGATTTCCAGTCAAGTGAAAATTATGAAAATTTGCTCTTAAAATCTTGGAATTCACCTTTTTGCAGTTCTTCTACTGTCCTTGATTTTACAGAATGTCCAAATGCCTGCCACAAAAACAGCGTAGAAAAGTTCCAGCTTTCCACCAGCCTTTTGTCATAACCAGACTGACCTGGCCCACCCAGCTCTGTGTAACTGCAACCCCAAATATCTATGTAATGAAATAAAAAACATTCCTTAGTCCAGGTCAGAGCAGTTGGAAGGTCAACTTCCTGCAATTCTGTGATAAATCTAGGAATACGCTTTTATTTGCTGAAAGTGTGTGAGAACTTCACACTGATCCAATATGAAAGAACAGCAGAATCAAGGATTAAAAGATGACTTTTTGTTCATTTGAATTCTGAGACTTCAAGATCACTGCTCACAGAGGTTGGCAAAAATATAGTTTTAGTGGACTGGGAGGGAAATCTGTAAGACATATACAGGTATAAATGAAAATTGAGAGTTTGAATGCATACAGTGTTTATTTATGTTTTGAAAACTTCAGGGGGTCTGGCTGGGTAAGGAACTGGGTTCTTGAGAGAGTGGGAAAAGATGCACAGTAACTCTTCAAAGTTCTGGTGGTTTGAAAGTCACAGGAAGGGAAGAGGTCTGCCTCCTATGGAGAGAAAATATTTTCTTGCACCAGGTCAGTGATCTTCAAATGAAGGAAAAAAAAACCTCTAAGTAGGTTTAGAGATATTAGACAGCAACATCTCCTAAGAAATCCTTTCAGGGAATTGATTTGCCCAGTGGTCTGAGTCAACAATGGGATTTTATAGCAGTGCCCATGTGGGAATGATGCTGGAGGAGCCTTTTTGGGCTCCTGCATAATCCTGGAATGGTGGAAATATTCATCTACACCCTCGTAATTGGGAATTTTTGCCCATTCTGCAGAATAGAGATGTGAAACCAAGGTGATACAATGCCAGGAGCTGGGGGTGTACTGTGAAAAGCAGGAATTTAGGCTGGATAATTTAAGCTCTGGTTCGTGCTCTTGTACCTCTCCCCCGACCCCAGTTTTGTTCAATTGGTACCAAGGTGTCAGGCTGGATTTTCAGCCCATTTAATCATCTGCCTCTACCTTTGCCTGTGTTTGTTTCTATCACCAGGCTAAAAAGGCTGCTCTGAGCGGGTTATTGGATGAGGCAGTGCTCTGTGAGCTGCAGAGCACTTTCCCTTAGTGGTGATAAAATGGTGATAAAAACCAAAAGTGACACTTCAAACGCGTGCCTGCTTCTGAGCTTCAGTGCATATTGCTTTTTCTCCCCCAAACACAACTCTTTATTTTTTCCCTTCGACAACTGATGGCTTTGAAAGAGAAGAAGGATGCACATATGGCACAGGAAGTCTTCCCAATATCTACTGGTATGATCTGCAGAAATGATGTGAGCCATCAGCATATTTGAGCCTACAGAAGCTCCTAATATTTAGAGAGAGTATTTTCTCTGCTAGAAAGGTTTCCAGCTCGGCTGTTTCTGTGGCTTGGACTCACCAGTATCCTGCAGCTGCCTTGGGGGGATGCAGAACTGTATTAAAATTGTTTGGAATTACCTCTTTATTGGGTTTGCAGCAGCTTTGCATCACCCAAGAGCTCAATTTCAGGTGCATTTGCCCCCTGCCTCCCTTCCCACCCCCTCTCTGATGGCCTAAACCAGAATAAGAGTTGCTGCATTAATTATTCTCTCCTTTTAATTAATTAAAGAGGCTCAGAACATGGATGTGTTGGAGTATGGCTGCAGGAATGATTGGCAGGGAAAAAAGAGAGGCTGAGAGAAGTTCCCTTGAGAGGCTCCACAGAGAGGTCCTGCTACGACCCCACTGCTGGGACCCCACTCCTTGCACAGACCTGGCTCCATTTGCTTCCCCAAACCCTAATTTTTACCTCCCTCATCTTTTCTTCCTTTCTTTCTTTGTAGTAAGCTTTCTGGTCATCTAAAAGCTGGTGTTTGAGAGAAGAAAACCCTTTTTGCTGCCCATTCTCTGCCCTCAGCTCCTCAGTCTGGGCACCTTCACAAAGCAGCACGAGGGGGTAACACTGTCCCATGTAATTTGTCTCAAAGCCTCTCCTCATGTTCATTTCTGTTTGTGCTTAAAGCATTTTTCTATGCTGCCTCTGCTGTTTTTCTGAAGCCTGGGGGCAGGAGAGGCTCTGGGTGCTGCAGGATCCCATTTAAAACACAGTTCTTTAAGGGTGCTGTGCAGGAATCAGAGCTCTGAGAAGGACCAAAACTGATGAAAGATTCAGAAAATTGGGTTGGAGACAGGGCTGAAGGAGCTGGGTTTGCTGGCAGAAAAGTCAATATCTCTTTCTCTCTGTTGGGCTTAGGAAAAGAAGGAATTAACTTCCTTTGCAGCAAAGATTTTGGATAAAAAGGGTTGCTAAACACTAAGAGAAGTCTCCTCAGAAAGTGAGGGCTTCTCTTCTCTGAGCTCTTGTGGACAGATTTGTCAAATTCCTGCTGGTTAAAATGTAGGAGAAGCCCTTTCTCCTTGGTTGGTAGGGAAGTGAACTCGAACTTCTTACCACCTTTCTCTTTTTCTAATATCTGTGTAAACATGGGAGCATAAAATCCTTGCCTTTTTCCACACAGGGCTATGGAAAAATCAAGTCTGATATGGTTAATATTTTATAACTGCTCTGAGCTATAAAAAAATTGGCATTGCTTCTAAAGTTGCTGCAGAAAGGATGGATAATTTATAAGAAAAATGTGGGGACTGTCCCATCTTCTATTTTCAAAACCTGCCAGGTTGGAATTATGATCCCTAGAGTGCCTGTTTTAATTTGGGGGGGGTAAAGTTGATAAGGATATGTGCCATTGTCACAATAACCTCACAGAAAAATTCATTAATGTGCAAATCCTAGGGAAATGGCCAAAGATTTCCTTCACATGTATTGGGTACTTAATGCAACATCAGCCCATGGCAGGTAGAAGCCCAAATAATTCTTTTGAGAGCTGAAGGAGGGGGTTTAGGTGTGGTGGTTGATAACCTGATGATGTGCAGGTGTTACAATAAATGCACAGATGCTCTTTTTAAATGGAACATTTAGACTGCTGTGTTTGCCATGGTTTCTTGGGCTTGGCCAGGGCTTGGGGCAAGCTGGGCTGGTGGGAGGTGCCCTGCCCCTGGCAGGGGTGGCCCTGGATGGGATTTAAGGTCCCTCCCAACCCATTCCATGATCCTGACCACATCCCCTCCTCAGCCCTTTGAGTGCCCACAGCTCAGCCCAC